TAATAATAATGAAAAAGTTTGACATATTTCAAAAATTGCCAAAATGTGACACAGAGGCATGAAGTGAGGACACGCTGTTGGGAAAATGGTGCTGATAGACTTTTCTGAGTTAGGGTTGCTACAATTATTTAATTTGTAAAAAACACAGTATCTGTGAAGCATAATAAAACAGGGTATGCCTGTGCTAACTGAGAAACTTACTATGTCAAAGCACTTCACAGGCAGGGGATAAAATGAGGCTGTGGGATGGAATGGTTGACCTAGGATCTCATTGCTAGAGCCCAACTTCAAACCAAGATCTGGTTGTATCTCCAGACTAAGCTCTTGGCCACAGTAGCCCCTGACCCGATCCTTTCTAATGTGAGAAACCAGAAGTCTACATAAAATTCCAAAACCTGCAACACAATTTGAAAGAAAAAAACTGCAAAAGTCAAGGAGAGTATCTGCGGATGTTGCAAATGATCCATTCTAAGACAAAAGCCTCTTGAGCTCTCTCTACATTTTGAAAGTTTGAAAATACTAAGTAGACTCCTCCAGCCAAGTTAATTCCTGCACATCAGCTGTAAATGTCAGCAAACACACCTTGCTTGGGATCCCACACGGGGGATGATGAGAACTCAGGCTATAGGGGCAGAGCCGTGTCCTGGGGAGGCTCAGTCACACTGAGAAGTGGGAATCTTCTGAGACAAGGGGAGCGTCTGGCCTGGAGGGTACATGACCTTATTTGTTTTTCAGTTTTTGATTGCTTTGTGACAAATTACTACACATTTAGTGGCTTAAAGCAATACTCACTTACTAGTTCACAGTTCTGTAGGTCAGAAGTCCAGCAGGATGTGTCTGGGTTCTCTGCTCAGACTGAAGTCAAAGCGTCAGCCACTGTGCTCTCATCTGGGGCTTGGGGTCTCCTTCCAAGGTTATTCTTGTGATTGACAGAATTCATTTCCTTTTGGCTGTGGGACTGAAGCCCCTGTTTCCTCTCTGGCTGTTAGCTGGGACCGCTCTCAGCTCCTGGAGGCTGCCCACATTCCTCCTGTGGCCTCCATATTTAAGCCAGCAACAGTGCATCAGATCCTTCTCTGACTTCTGGCCAGGTGCGGTGACTCACGCCTGTAATCCCAGCACTTTGGGAGACCAAGGTGGGATGATCACCTGTGGTCAGGAGTTCAAGACCAGACTGCTCAACATGGTGAAACCCCGTTTCTACTTAAAAATACAAAAGTTAGCCAGGCGTGGTGGCAAACGCCTGTAATCCCAGATATTTGGGAGGCCGAGACAGGAGAATCATATGTACCCGGGAGGCAGAGGTTGCAGTGAGCTGAGATTGTGTCACTGCACTCCAGCCTGGGCAATGGAGCAAGACTCTGTCTCAAAAAAAAAAAAAAAAAAAAAAGAATTCTCCGACTTCTGCTGCTACTGGCAGCCAAAGTAAACTCTGCTTTTAAAGGGTTCACCTGGCTGGGTCAGGCCCACTGGAATAACTTCTATATCTTAAGGTCAACTGACTTGGGACTTTACGTCTGCAAAATCCCCTCACAGCAGTACCTAGGTTAGTGTTTGGTGAGTAATCTGGGAATCTTGGGAGTCATCTTTGGAATCCTTCCCTCCATGGTTTTAGAAAGGTCAGTCTGGCCATAGTGTGGATAACATATTGGGAGGGACAAGACAGACAGCAAGGGGGATCTCCTAAAAGCTGTGGCAATCATCCTGAAAGACAGAGGAATGGGCTTTGGATGAGTGAGAAATGATTTAGACACAGCATAAAGACTTCTTGCTGGCTGATTAGTTGTGGGAGGGAGGGGAGGGAGAGTCAAGGTGGACTCCCAGGTTTTGCCTCAAACAACTGAGTAAGTGAAATTGCCATCCAAAAAGATACTATGGATAAACAGGTTTTGGAGTGGAAGATAATGAATTATTCCTCTTCATGTTGAGTTTGAAAGGAAGACAACCAAATGGATGATAAAAATGGGGGATCACTGGTTAACGCAGGGGTTCTCCAATGGAGTGATTTGGCTCCACAGAGGACACTTGGCCATGTCTGAAGACATTTTTGGTTGCCATAATAGTGGAGGCGTTATCCACATTGAGCAGGTAGAAAGCAGGAGTAAAAAATCCCACAACACACAGGACAGCAAAGGTTTTGCTGCCAAATGTCAATAGTGCTGAGGCTGACAAACCCTGAGTCAGAGGCCAGAAATTCAAGCCACAGGAGTGAAGAAGAGGGCCCAGAACAGAGCCCTGCAGAACCCCAGCCTCAGAGCAACGGAAGCCAGCCCGGAGCCTGAGAAGAAGCCAGAGAAGGGGAGGCCAACCAGATGCACAGTGCTGAAAAGCAGGCAGAGAAAGAGGTGTTGATTCTGGCAGGTGTCAAGGGCTGCTGCGAGTCAAGCAAAATGAGGAGTAAAAAACCATCATTGGATTTAGGGTGACCGAGGCCACCGGAGGCTGTGCCTGAACAGTTTCAGTTGAGTCATGGGAGCGGATGGCTGTCTGCACTGAGTGAAGAGTGCACTCTTGAGAGAGGAGGTTGGGGCAGCAGCCACCGGAGACCAGGCTTCTGAAGACCCGGAGACACCTCAAAAGGGATGTGGGCTGAAGGGATTTGTTGCCATGGAGAGAATTGAGATCTGCAAATGCTGACGGGAAGGAGAAGAGAGAGGAAGGGATCACAGAGTGAGGCCCCTGAGAAAAGTGTGAGAACAGAACTAAGGGCACAATCTCTCTTCCAGGCCCTGCCAGCAAGTGCCCCCTAAGTGCTGCATCCCAGGTGTGCACCTGAGTCCCAGTCCTGCCCAGGAGAGACTGGCCTGATGATGGAGAAGGAGAAGAGGTGCCCCCAGCAACAGGTGTAGGTGCAGCTGCAGGTGGGCTTGGCAGTTTGGAAGGTGGAATGCTGGGGAGACTTATCCTCCATGTAGGCAGCAGGGATCACTTTTGAAAATAAAGGAGAAAGAAATGGATCAGAGGCTTGAGGCGGGTGTGGAGGGCTGTTCTGTTTAGAGAACCCCAGCAGGACTCTCAGGCAGGGCACAGTCTTTTTCCTTGTTATTTCTTTCCCGAGATTTTTTTTTTTCTCTTGGAAAATTCTCATCAAAGTTCCATGCAAGACCATTTAAGGGTTAACACATTTTCCTCCAAAATGACTGCAGTCCCTCTACTGAAATTCATTTTATGAGTCCAGTCTGTTGAAAGATAAGGAAACTATTACAGTGGAGATGGAAGATGGAAATTAGGCTGAGAGAGCAAAGAAGGGTGAAAAAGATATGGACATATATATCCATGGCACAAATTTTAATGATTTCTGTAAAGTATAATTGAGGGAAATTACAGGAAGTTTCATTTGATTTTCTTAGAGGTCCTGAAACTCACGAGTGTTACAGAGTTATAGTATTTACAGAAAGAAAGGCTATTAAAATTCAAGAGAATTTGGAAGGAACTGACGTCCTTTTTTAAAATTCCTTTACATTGCAAAAGATGACCTAAGCTATTCTTTAAAATTCAACATCTCTGATTTTATTCTCACAGTAGTGCAGTTAACTGCAGATAACATTAGTTCTTCCTATCAAATCATTGTGTTATTCCACCAAGGTTGTGTGATGGGAATGAGGGGGAGGGCGGCTTCGTAAAAGGCACCTGGGACTCCCACTACTAGCATTCCTTTGCGAAAAATTAGAAATCTTTAGGAAAGGGGGAAGGAAAAAGGGGGCAGAGTTCAGCCGAAGAGCCGACCTCAAAGAACCATTTCGGGGTATTTCTTTTCTCTTCACTGCTTGGGAACTGCCTTCAGTTCACCCACCACTTCTGAAGTGGCTTCACTTCTAAGGGGAGAGGCCAACGTCCCAACAGAGGGTCTCTCACTTCTTTCCGCCATTTGTTAAATGGCTCCATAAATTAGTTGTTTTACATAAAATTTGGAACTACGATCTGGGAGGCCTAGGGGCTGCACCACCAGTAAGTCGCTGACTCAACCTGGGCCCTTTAACCCCCAAACCCAAACTCTTTCCTGGATCGATCGAACCGCTGGCCCCAACCTAAAAGCCTCCTCCACCGCCAAAAGTCAGGAAGGGTTGGTCCTTTTGTTTTTCAAATGAATTGAAATTAGATCCACAGCCCCGCGTAACGCTGGGGAATACCCAGGGAGAGGCCAGCTTCCAGGAGGTCAGCCCCAACACCGCGGGCAGGAATTTGGAGGGATG